CACCTACATCAGAGGAGGCTGTGGTCTGATTTACTGAGTGCTTGGACTTCTGAGAATAGAAGCCTAATGAAGATGACCATCGAGATCTGGAGACTCTGAAGGACTACTTTCTTCAGACAACTATTTTCATACCTCTTAAAACACTGCTTTGTCAGACTTGCCAACAAAAGACCAGATGTGAAAAAATTCTCTAGGTCTAACAATGTTATAAAAAACAAATACATTTCTTAATTAAAGTTAGCAACTAATTAAAATGTTAATTATGATGTTTGGATCCAACTTTTTTTTTTTTTTAAAGGAGTGGCAACTTTAAGATTCTTGGGGGGGAGGAAGGGGGCGCACTTACCAGCAAGTCAAAAACTTCATTAACATCTTTTCCACGAATCTCAATGCCATTTATTTCCAGAACTTCATCCCCTTCATGTAATAACCCACTCTTCTCTGCAGCTCCCCCTTTCACTATTCGACTAATGATGACGGAATCCATTTCATTGCGCACTGTAGCACCCTATACAATTGCAAATAGTTTATCTGAATTTAAAACAAATATGAAACTCATGGATATATACTGCATATATTTTAAACCAGTGGATAAAATTTCATATACTACAAATGAAAAACAAAACTTAAAAATAGATTTTCAGTTCATAAAGCAGAAAGAGGAACTTCTAATCTGCTCAACAATGATTAAATTTGAGTTGTACATTATGACTGAAATTTTTTAAACAACTTTTTTCCAAATATGTTTATATAGAACATGAAAAACAGAACATGACAAAGGTAAAAAATGCAGTTGTTGGCACAGCAAGGATTAAAACTCAGTTTCAGCAAATCCTGAGATACTGCCTTCTTTAGGAAGGCCTTCTTTCAATCCCATTAACTTTTCAACAGATATACTACTGACTTTGCTCTAAATGGCAGCAATTTAGGTTTCCGTATTAGAATAAATTAATATAGCCTCAGTATAAGAAATTTGCATCACCCATAAACATTTGTTATTTCATGAACCAAAATTACTATTAGCTCTAAGTTTAAACTGCATATCCATGATAAAATTCCAAAACATTAATAATAGGGTGACCAGACAGCAAGTGTGAAAAATCGGGACGGGGGTGGGGGGTAATAGGAGCCTATATAAGAAAAAAACCCAAATATCAGGACAGTCCCTATAAAATCGGGACATCTGGTCACCCTAATTAATAATGACCTGAAAAAGGGGGGGGGAAAAGTTTGTGTGTGTCCTACTTCACCTATGAAGAGAACACCTCTCTCAATAATAATAATTAATAATTAAAAAAAAAGTTTGAACACTACCATTAGGACAACTTTCCCCACAAGGGAGTCTAGTCTGGAAGAATAAAAGTAAATTGGACAGTCCTAGCCTCATTTTCTTCCAGAGCAAGGGATCTGCTGTCAAAGTAACAATACTTACCAATGGAATATCTCGTGCCTTCTCAATGCGAACTATTTTCACTGTCTCCCCTCCATACAGGCCAAAGTTCTCATAAACCTTTTCATTTGTCACTGGCTCTGGCTGCATTTCTTGCTCTGCAACCTTATCATGAGCTAATAAAAGTGCCTAGTGTTAAACAAAACAGACAATGCAGTTTAAGGAAATGCTTTTCATACCTACATGAAGCACAACAGAAATTCACTAATTTGTACTAAGTAGGATACCCATTGCAAGTTAGAAAATTGTGCAAATTATCTAGTAAACGAATTAAAAAAATCCTAAAGATGATCTATCACAATAGCATGGTTAAGTTTTAATTATACTAATTCATAGTGAGAGACAGATATAGTCCACAGCTGCAGAATTCACCCTTGCTACGAAAGTGTACTTCAGAATATTAGTTTTTAAAAAAGCTAATATTCTAGCCCTTATGATTAAGAACATAAAAAGGGCCATACTGGGTCAGACCAATAGTCAATCTAGCCCAGTATCCTGTCTTCTGACAGTGGCCAATGCCAGGTGCTTCAGATAGAATGAACAGAGCAGTGATTCACCCCCTTTTGCCCATTCCCAGCTTCTGGAAAACAGGCTATGGACATTTCAGAGTATGGTTTTGCATCCCTGTCCATCCTTGCTAATAGCCACTGATGGACCTATCCTCCATTAACTTATCTAGCTCTCTTTTGAACTCTGTTAATATAGTCTTGGCCTTCACAACACCTTCGGGCAAAGAGTTCCACAGGTTAACTGTGTGTTGTGTGAAGAAATACTTCCTTTTGTTTGTTTTAAACCTTCTGCCTATTAATTTTATTTGGTGACCCCTAGTTCTTATGTTATGAGAAGGAGTAAACAACACTTCCTTATTTACTTTCTCCACACCAGCCATGATTTTATAGACCTCTATCATATCCCCCCTAGTTGTCTCTTTTCCAAGCTGAAAAGTCCCAGTGTTATTAATCTCTCCTCATATGGAAGCTGTTCCATACCCCTAATAATTTTTGTTGCCCTTTTCTGAACCTTTTCCAATTCCAATATATCTTTTTTGAGATGGGGCAATCACATCTGCACAGAGTGTTCAATATATGGGCATACCATGGATTTATATAGAGGCAATGTGATATTTTCTGTCTTATTATCTATCCCTTTCCTAATAATTCCCAACATTGTTAGCTTTTTTGACTGCCGCTGCACATTGAGTGGATGTTTTCAGATAACTATCCATGATGACACCAAGTTCTCTTTGAGTGGTAACAGCTAATTTAGAAGTATAGTTGGGATTATGTTTTCCGTGCATTACTTTGCATTTATCTATACTGAATTTCATCTGCCATTTTGTTGCCCGGTCACTCAGTTTTGTGAGATGATTGCAATGATAACCTGGAAAACATGAAGTGAATGTAAACTAATCTTGTGCTGTCCTCCTGAGTTTGCTGACAGTCTGAATCAATGGCTCTGAGGGGGTCTCAATACCCCATTTTACTTCATATGTTAACTTTGAACCTAAAGATGACAATATTGTCAATCTGTAGCTTACTGAACATACGCTGATAACATAAAATAAACTGATTTTGTCATTAGAACTAACACTTGAATTCATTTTCATATATAATTAAATACAAAACCTCCAATTTTAATGTTTGAAGCTGTCACTGTATTTTGATTATTTCCATTAAAGCACTGCAAAGATTAGGGACTCTGCCACAAAATGTAAGTGCAGCTTGTCAGAGTAAACTTGGCCTTGTTCAGCGTATACTATTAAATATATATTTTTTAAAAATGTAATGAAGTTTTAATAAAAAGGGACCTCACTGTAGCACTCTACTATTAAATCTTTGCCAAGAAGTGCAGTAGAAGCTGTTTTACTTATAAGTTGCAAGCAATGCACATTAATCACATTCTTCTGTAATGGACAACTGTAAATTTCACTAGTTGTCAATTCTTGTTTGTACAGTAGTGATATATGCTGGAATTTATTCCTTTTGTTTCAGACTCCCCCACACTCCCAGCACACTTTTTTACGGGGGGTGGGGGGGGGGGGGGGGG